AGCAGCAGCAGATCTCCGATGACAAGGCTCCACCACCACCACCGGCTGTCAATGCTCCACCACCACTGGCTGTGAGGAAAAGAAACACCAAGAAGTCCAATTAGAGATGGGATCTTGAAGGCTTCGAGTTGTCAGCTGCGTTGAACTTCTCGCCGGCAATTAGGAAATTGTTTTTCTATAACCCTAATACAAACCAGGATGGAATTCCAACTTGCCGACAACCATCACCACCAAAACCTCCGCCGCATGATCAACTTCGAATCCAAAATCTGGATTTTGATTTGGATGCCATGGGACGCCGTGGAACTGACTGGGTCGTGGCGGATGGGGAGGGCGATGACGGTGGTAATAATGATTGTAAAAATTCATTTTATTTTTATAAGCTCTTTTAAAGCTTAAAACCCAAAACGACGTTTTTTGGAAGGCAAGGTTTTTTCCAAAAGCTTTACGGATTTTATGTCCAAAAAATGACGTTATCCAAAATGACGTCGTTTTGTAGGTTGGGGTTTTTTCCCCAAAATCCAACGGAATTTTTAAATTGAGATTTATGAAGTCCTGTTTATACCCCTAATAAGTCGCTGACGTCATATCAACCCCATCCGACGGACGAGATCGCTTTGAAGGTGGCCCTGAATATTTCTTGGGCATTTAATTTTTTGTCTACTGTGCCTTTATATTAAGTATAAGGATAATAATGGCTATGATAGCGAAAACTTGTGAAGAAATTGTTTAAAAAGGAAGCATTGAATGCTTTAGTTTGCACCTTTTTGTTTAATACTTTTCCACCATCAAGCTCCTTAAACTCTTTAGGTACGTTCCTTTTAACTTGTGCATGAATAAAGTTTTTTTTTCCAAAAATAATTAGAAGCACACATGATGTCAGTGACAAAAAAATCAGTTTGCTATTAACTTGATTAACCACTTTCTTTTCTTTATTTTTATGTCCTCTTCTTTCCTTTTAATTTATTAACTTTATGAGGAATTTTTGGAGATATCAGAGAAGGTAAATGGTTTGTCAAGGATTCGGAAAGAGAATACTAATCTATCTATCTATATATTAAAGGAGAGTTGCTCATTGAACACGTGTCGCTCAATTAGGGCTTAATAAGCTCCATTGACATGTGTCGTTTTATAATTAGCTCATCATTAAACCGTTGACATATGTCGTTTTATTATTAGCTCATCATTAAACTATTAAAATTTTATGTAAAATAGTTAATCTGTTTTCACCAATTAATCCATTTAATCTGTGGCATAGTAGTAAGTATCATACGATACGCGATACGTATCGCACAATTTTGATACGTATCATGGTATGTATCGCAATCGCTTGTGTATCGGTCAATTACCGATACGTATCGTACGATACACGATACGATTGTGTATCATACGATACAAAACATAGGTAAAGAATTAATTTTTTCTTAAAAGAATTCAAATTGTGACCATTTAAATTTCAAATTAAGAGCGAATTTCATTTACAATTTGTTAAATAGATACTTTTGATTTATTTCATAAACATAATCTTCCTCAATTGTCAATAAAATCGATAAATAAATTATTCTAGTTAAAAAATAAAATTAGTTAAAAATATTTGTTATTCATAATATCATTTTTCTTTTTTAAATCAAGTATAACTAATAGCATGTTAATAAATGCAATACATGTTTATATTAATTTTTATCTATTAAATTTATGACTTAATAAAAATTATTATGAAAAATAATATTTATTACATAGGTTTGACGACTATTATTCATATAATGAATAAGTAATATGTTTAACTTTCAAATAATTTTGAATTCAACTTAATCAATTTATTTGTTTATAACTGAAAAATAAATAAAAAAACATAAATATATCAACTACATATGAAGTTTATGATATTTATTATTTTTTTTATAGATATTATTATATTCAAACGTATCTTACGATACGATACACGATACGATACGCGTATCATAAATCTATATTTCCGATACACGATACGTATCCCGCTTTGGTAACTATGATCCGTGGCACTTCTAATTTAACCAACCCACTTTGAAATTAAAAACTACCATTAATTTTCACTATCTATCTATTTATCTCTCTACATATATGTATTGAAAAAGGGAGTTGACGTGTGTCGTTTTATTATTTGCTCATCATTAAACCGTTAAAATTATTTTGTTAAGTTGTTAAAGTAACTTTATCATTTATTACTTTTAATCTACTTTAATTTGGTTACTAGGGTTAATATAAAATTTTACTTAGTTACGTACTCCAAGATTAAAACAAATTCCATTCCTTATTTATGTTTTGGGCATCACGTAATTAGAATCAAAATCTCACCTAATCAATGTTTTTTTTTTTTGTGTGTGTGTGTGCGCATCAAGTAGTACAAATTAGATAATACAATCCTTCCTTATTTATATCTTGCGCATCACAAAAACTTTGCTAGCATCATTAAGGCGCAGATTTATTTTATTTTATTTTATTTTTTTCGCTTTGAAGCTAGCATAATTTTTATTTTTGCGCATCATGTCGGGCGGCGACAGTGTGAACGAATTCTTTCCTTTTTTTTTTTTGCCAAATATGCCAGCGAAGTGTGCTGATCATGAAATCCTGCCCCTTAATCGATCCGATCTCAGTCATAAGTATTAGGAGCGACGGCCGACCTTGGAAACCCTAATACTCCGATGCCTATGAATCGCGCGTATAAATACATCGATTTTGCTGCATATGAGACAGAGTCTACTCTGTTTGTGTTACCGCCTCTCTTCTGCCTATTTCTCATCTCTGATCTAGTCGTGAGTCACCTCTCGCTCCTGCTTCTTCTGGCTCTCTCTCAAATGCAGCTTTTACAAACTGGTCGATTGCAAATTCTGCTCGGTATGGTTTAATTTTTTGTGCTCCCTTCAACCAAAGATTCTAATTATAATCCTATGCGAAATTTTCGTTTAGAAGTGAGTTTAAATCGATTTGAAGTTGTGAGAAAACATGTACAGTAAAAATCATGTTCTTGGTGAGACAATTCTACGGTGAATCTTAATTTAAAAAAATAATTACTGTAATTATCACGAGTAAACATGATCGTTTGCTTTTTGCAGGTTATCATGGGAACGTTCCGCAAGTGAAACTCAAGGTTCAGTTTCTTCGTTTTTCTTTTCTTTTTCTTTCAACTTATCCTAATGGGTGATTGGAATTTTTCCTAATGAGGTTGCGAATCCTTTTTTTTTTTTTACCCAAGCAAACAAGATTTTCATTGTTGCCATATCCAGGGAACCATAATTGTGGTCCTTAGCTAGGGTCCCTTCCCCCACCATTTTTGTTGTGCTTTGGACCTTGTGCTTCAGAAAGGTACATATCTTTCGTGTCGTATGCAAAATTTTCCTACCCCTGCTAGCGTTTTTAAAAATATTGCCATTCGAATTTGCCGTTTTCTTTTGAATTTTAATCGATGAAAATTCCTCCAAATTCGCGGAGCTCTTTGGTTTAGGTCGCAGTTTTTAAGCGGAGATGGCGAGATAGCAACGGGTTCTTGACCAAGATAAATTGGATTGAGAAGTCTATTCATCACATGACAGATTTGGTTTACTCGGTTCAGGTTCTATTTGCAGAGGAGCGAAGGAAGAAGAAAAAAATTAGCAATTGTCTGTGAAATATGCAATTTTGAACTTGATCCTCTTGAACGCAATTTAAGGGATGTTTTCTGAAAAATTATGTCTTGGTCTTCAAATCCTGGGAAAGAGCACTCCACCATGATAGCACAAGCAATTACTGATGGACAAAGATAAAGATGGGTGTAATATTCCCGAGATGTTTTTTCCGTTTGAATGGAGTTTTTTGGAGGCCGTATCCAGTGCACCCGGGTGTACCGTATCCCCCCCCCCCCACCAAAGACACGCGCACCACGCGCTTAACTGTTTTTACCTTTACATTAAATGTACACATAAAGTAATTTTCATTATTTTTATCCTCATGCATAAACACACACAAACACACACAAACACACAGTCGACGGAAACTCTCCAATTTAGAGCAAACCCACACACACACACAGACGACGGCAAGAAACCCTACGTCCGGACATCTCAAGCTCTCCTTCATCTATACATGCTTGAATGGTAAGTATATTGCTCCGGGATCCTCTTTTTTTTGATTATCCAGCAATATCTTGTGTGTTTCCACTAGATCTGAACCATTTATCCATGGTTTCCTGCGTATGCTATGTGATCGTTGTCCGTGCCATAATCTCTGTTTATCCATCTATATCATACTGACATTTGTTATCCACCTATTTCATTCTGGTTATCCATAAGTTGTAGGGTGGTTATTCAGAAGTTGTAAAGTGGTTATCCACAAGTTTTAAACTTGTTATCTATGCTTTTTTTACATTTTATTCTATGTGGCATGAACAAACAGATCTGGTTATCCATGTTTTTGTGTTTTTTTTTTTTTTGTTTGTTTAGGGTTTAGGGTTTAGGGTTTAGGGTTTAGGGGTGCTTGTCCAAACTTTGTTTTTTGGTTATCCATCCAACAAGTATTTGTTATCCGCATGGTATAAACTGGTTATCCATTGTTGTTTTTAGATGTGCTTTTATGTGGCTACGTCCATACATTCTTTGCTGATTATCCAACCATTTCATACTGGTTATCCACAAGTGGTAAACTGGTTATCCACATGTTGTGAACTGGTTATCCTGTGCTTTTTTAACATTTGATTTTGTGTTGCTTGGTTATCCACCCATTTTAACTTGATTATCCGAAGTGAGTAAACTGGTTATCCATTGTTTTTTTTTTTAGATGTGCTTTTATCTGGCTACATGTCCATACTGACTTCTTACTGATTATCCACCCATATCCTGCTATTTTGTCCACTGACTTCTTACTGATTGTGCAATGCCAACAGTGTCCTAAAGGAGTTTAGGACAAAATATAGGCACGATTGGATCAGCGCATTCCACGACCTCAATTGCAACGCAGACAGATCACCGGATCCTGAACCAGATAAAATAATGGAGCTCCCTGAAGGAACACTGACCCTATATAAAAAACAAAAACCAACCCAAGAAGAACAGTCCCCTGTACAAACTCCAAGCAACCAAAACTTGTGGAGAAAACCAAAGAGGAAGAAGAGCACACCGGTAGGAAATCCAAAGCAACTTGTGGTTGCTGATGACAACGATGATAAAAAGCCCAAAAAGAAAAGAATGAAACCTGAGAACAACAAAGTGATAATTGGTCAAGATCCATGGCCAATCAGTTCTGAATATTCTGTCAAGAAATTTGAGACAAGGATGACACCGAACCATCTCTTCCAACTCATCACTGAAATCAATAAACCAACAGATCTTACAAAAGAGCCAGATGTGGTAGATTATCGCCAACTACAAAGGCAGGCTATCAGAGATATGGGATTTGGCGCATTGCTGGATCTCAAAATCAAAAATATTCCAACAGCCTTGTGTAATTTTCTGGCAAGCAATTTCCAGACTGGTGCCAGACAAGTCCCATTGAATGGCAACAATGTACTGGATATCAAACAGGAAGATGTTGTTGCTGTACTTGATCTTCCTTGTGGACCCAAACCAGTGCAAGAATTCAAACAGAATGATCCTGCTATAACGGACCATGCTGAGATGGTGGATGCATTCAAGAAAAGAATGGGATACAGTAATAAATTCCTGCCAACGAGATCCACCGCGGCACAATTAATTGCTAGTCGAAAAGATTTTGGTGATGATTTCAAACGAGATTTCCTCGTCTTTGTTGTGAGCACGTTCCTACATGGAAACACCACTTCCAGGATCACAATGAACATCCTGAAGTCCCTTGTGAACATCAATGAAGTGACACAATACAATTGGTGTCAATATGTGATTGATGCACTTGTGAAAGGATGCAAAAGTCACCACGATGGGAAGCCATTCACTGGACCAATCACTTTTTTCCTGGTACTTACCATATCCATGCAAACTTTACTACTTATCCATATTGCTTGCAATGTTTATCCAATTTGCTTGTACTTGTCTGATGTGATTGTACTTGTCATCCAACTAATTTGTACTGCTTGTCCAGCCCTCTTTTTCCCCTTTAAATGGTTATCCATTGTGTTCCTGCCGGTTATCCAGCCTATTTGAACTCATTATCCACTTCATTTGAACCGGTTATCCACTTCATTTGAACTGGTTATCCAATCTGTCTAAATTCTGATGGGCAGATTATCCAACTAATCAGTATTAGTTATCCAACCTGGTTTTTTTGTTTTTATTATTTTTTTTAAAAATAATAAACTAAGTTGGTTATCCAACTCGTTTGTATTGGTTATCCAATCATTGGTTTGTACTGGATTATCCAATGCGCTAATGCTGGTTATCCAATGGATTTACATGGTTATCCAAATTGTTTGAACTGGTTATCCAACTCGTGCATACTGGTTATCCAACTTACTGGATATCCAACTTAATTCTGCCTATCAAAATTTAGTCATTTTTAAACTCAAAAAAAATATTCGAAATGGATTTCGTTGGATAGATTTCGACGAGTACTAATTAGTTGGTTATCCAATTTATCAATTTGTACTGCTTGTCCAACCCTCTTTTTCCCCTTTAAATGGTTATCCATTGTGTTCCTTCCGGTTATCCTGCCTATTTGAACTCACTATCCAGTTCATTTGAACTGGTTATCCACTTCATTTGAGCTGGTTATCCAATCTGTCTAAATTCTGATGGAAACCAACTTTTTTTTTTTTTTTTGGTTAGTTGTGCTACCTTGACAGGTGTGAGTATGAGAGAGCACATCCGAGGTCGTTCCCTGTGATCAAATCTTGGGACCAAAGGATGCTGGACGACAGAATAAGGCTTCAGGGAAGCAATTTCACAGATGTCCAGACACTTGAACGTCTCAATAAACCGTCCTCAGCAACATCTCGAGATGAGCAACCAGAGGCTGAATCACAGAAGGAGGATACACAGGGAATCCACAACACACAGCAAGTCTATGTACTGTTCTACTGTTTTTTTTCAGATCAAACTTACGTATCCAACCTAGCATATCCACATTCCACTAACTACATACAATTTTGCAGGACCTTGCCGCTCTTTACGAAAAATTCTACCAATTGATTATCACGATGAGCAAAACTGTTTTAGACATTCGTGAGAAGGAAATGGAGTTAAGAATCGAACCAGATGAACAAGCAAAGCAAACAATCAAGATCCTATCAGATGCAATGGTGTCGATGAGTAGAAAGATGCCTCCGCCTTCAGGTACAACGCAACTGGAACAAGAGCAGCAGCAACACCAGCAAGACCTCCAGGATGCACAGATTTGTGAATTGTGCGAGATGGCATGGAAGTCCGCTGAAAGCAGATTTGCAACAATCATAGAACAGCTGCAACGACAAGTAGCTGACCAACAAGAACAACAGCAACACCAACAAACTGATGACAACACTGTAGAAGCTCCAATTAATCTCGCAAAATTTCAAGACATTGAAATTGACAAAGCACAGGGACTGGAGCAATTGAGCCAGACAAATGATGAGGCTTCTATTGCAGTGGGGAAAACTGTGCCTACTTCAAAAGAAGTGGTGGTTGATGAACCACAAACTCAACTACAAGGGGCACAGGGACTGGATCAATTGAGCCAGACAAATGATGAGAATTCTCTTCCAGTGGGGAAATCCATGCCTACTTCAAAAGAAGTGCGGGTTGATGGAAAACAAACTCAACCAAGAGGTAATGAAACAAATACTTGTCTGATGTGATTGTACTTGTCATCCAACTAATTTGTACTGCTTATCCAAACCCTTTTTATCCCTTTAAATGGTTATCCATTGTGTTCTGCTACTTATCCAGCCTATTTGAACTCATTATCCACTTCATTTGAACTGGTTATCCAATCTGTCTAATTTGTACTGCCTGTAAAACCCTCCTTTTCCCCTTTAGATTGTTATCCATTGTTCCTCCTGATTATCCATCATATTTGAACTGATTATCCACTTCCTTCGTACTGATTATCCAACATTCCAACTTTGTACTGCAGAACATGCAACGAATGTCTCCACGACAGAAAAGAAGAGATCCCATCAAGATTCCACCGGGCGGGATACAGCTGTGACATCCACCTATAGCAAAAGGTCGAGAAGCACTGGTACCAGGAAAAGGAAAGCATTGAAAGACGCAAGTATCCCAAGCTTTAACCTGGGTATCTTCTCCAGTCAGGAAGACAGTTACGAGACAACCCAAGAGAAGAACACTCAAGAAGATGTCACAGTAACGGTTGATCTGGATAAAGATGTGAATGAGACTATAGAAGCAGAAGAATATCCAGTACCATCTGCTCTAGACGAAACAAAGAATCCCATTCCTTCTATCGATGAAATTATAACAAGGGCCAGTGCACCAGCTTCAGAGACGTCGAGTGATACAGAAAAACTAGAGATCATTGCAGCTGTTGCAGAACAAGTTGAGAGAAACCCAGAGGTGGTTGAAGCAGTCCCTTTAAGCATAATTCCACCCGATTGGAATGCTGCTTCTACCACGGATCGTTTACTCATGCTGGACAAAAATGAGTGTACCACGCCACCGCCTGCAATCTCAAAGAAAGCTGAAGTACTTGATGAAGGCTTAACAAAGACAGTGGAAAAGTAAGTTTGATCCACTGTGAATGCTCACAACAAAATAGAAACATGAATTTAGATACTAACTCTCTTTTGTTTTGTCCTAGGATCCTCAAACAAAAACCTAGGAGGAGAAATCCACCAAGAATCCACCGGTTGCCCGAACGGTTCAGGTCGCCGTTCATGCTGCAGAAGAAAAACAAGAAAAAATTCATACAGTTGACAGAGGAGAACAAGAAAATGACTGAAGTAGAAGTCCTGTTGATAGACTTTGCTCTCTTGCAGAGACAAGAAGAAATTGTTAAATCAGCGTAAAAGACACCATCCTTACCCGTCCGATAAAAAACTAACCGGTTTTCCAACTATTTGTCTATTTGACTACTTTTTCTATGCAGGAATTTCTTGTTTGAATTTGGAAAAATTGTTTGGGCAGACAGGACAGCATTCTATTCCATGAGGGAAGGCACATGGATAGAAAACAGCATCATAGATGCTTGGGCTGTCATCCTAAACAAAGAAGAAGCTAAAAAAGACTCCCCAAGTCGGATATTCTTTGGTGTTTCCGCATTTGTAAGTCAACTAAACCGTTATTCTTTATCCCGCCCTGGTAAAATACTTGTCACGTGTCTGCAAGTTGTTTATCCAAAGGCTTCCCACTAGTTATCCAGCCATAACGGCTGGTTATCCACATTCTGTAAACAAGTTATCCAGCCATAATTGCTGGTTATCCACATTCTGTAAATTAGTTATCTAGCCATAATTGCTGGTTATCCACATCCTGTAAACTAGTTATCCAGCCATTGTACTGATCATTATATCATTTTCCAACCATCTTAAACAATAACGCCGGATACAATCAGTCGCTACTATCAACAGGATAGTAACAAAGAGGAAATAGAGTTCACGTTCTACGAGAGGTTGGCTCTTGAACTAGAAGAACAAGGACTCAGTGTAGGATCCCTGATAGTGGCAAAAGCCGTAAGCAACATCTTTCACCTCCTTCACTCTTTCTATAACTGGCTGTTAAAAAATTTTCTTATGATTTCCCCTTTCAATGTGAAAAATCAGATCTACTTCCCAGTGCACTACAGAGAACATTACTTCTTGTATGTGTTGCTGGTTCAAGAGAAGAAAGTCCTCGCATTCAACAATCTTCATGCAAAAGATCTGGACTACTACAAGCCAACAAAGGATCTACTTGTGAGTGAAAAAAAGATACAAAATGATTGTCATACTTTAAGAATTATCCATTGCATTTTGCTGATCCTTGAATTTTATGGCATCGTAGTTTCGGTTCTTTAAAATGTACATTCAATGTGTGTTTCCAAACATAGAACTGGTCAATGCTCAGTTGACCTTCACAGAGGTTACGCTACCATCTCACAACGACAAAAAGCCAAATGCGGAAGATTGTGGAATATTCACAATGCACCACATGGAGAAGTATGATGGTGGTGACTACGAGGATGGTACTACTTTGGATTTCCACACAGGAAACATCAAAGAGTACCGGTGGAGATACATGTTAAAAATCCTTATGCACCCATCCAACAAAAATAAGGATAAAATCCTCGAAGCAATGCACCAGTTCTACACAAATACTGCTGAAGAAGAACCAAAAGAAATTCCAGATCATGTTGATTTGAGCAGCAAATCTTACTACAATGACAAAAAAAATCAGGGATGGGTTAAATGAACTGTCATTATCTTGTCTTGTATAATTGATTGACTGTTGTAGTCCAGATCATTTTGTAATGGTTATCCAGGATCTTTCTACTGATTATCCAATGCTTTGAATTCATCATCCAGGACTTTTGTACTGGTTATCCAGCAAATGTGCGGCAAAATCCAACCGTTTGTAGTGGTCATCCAAGATCATTGTACCAGTTATCCATCTTGATAAACCTGATTATCCGAATGTTTTATAGTGATTATCCAGTCAAAAAAAATGCAAGTATAGTCTTTAATCTGATTATACATGAGATTATAATTCTTATCCAAAAAATCAATACTGCTTATCCATATGTAACAAAAGTTTTATACTGATCATCCATTCAAAGAAAAATGCAAGTACATTCTTTAACCTCAATACTTAATATCCAAGAGATTATACTTGTTATCCATATGTAACTAGCAGGCAAAACCCAACCCGGGAACGCAACCCGCTTCAGAATCCCGCCCAAATTCTGGAAAAGCTGCCCCATTAGTGTGCACATTTTCCAAACGGCGGCCGGGCAATCATAATAATTATCCCTTAGAATCCTTCTCCCGAAAACGTCATTCAATCATAATTGAGTGTGTTGGATAATGTACCATTCCTTCAACCATTCACCTGCTCTCGCCCTTTTTATGGGTATAAAATTCACTTTGTTTTTTATTCCTTATGAAAAAATGCTGGTTACCCATAGTGGTTATCCATAGTAAAATTCAGTTTGTTTTTATTCTATGTGTGTTGGATAATGTACCATTCCTTCAACCATTCACCTGCTCTCGCCCTTTTTATGGGTATAAAATTCACTTTGTTTTTTATTCCTTATGAAAAAATGCTGGTTACCCATAGTGGTTATCCATAGTAAAATTCAGTTTGTTTTTATTCTATGATCATTATCCAATGCTCTGAATTAGTTATCCAGAACTTTTGTATTAGTTATCCACAAATTTTGCAGTGCTTATCCAGCAGTTTATGTAACTCATTTAAGGATAATCAACACTGGTTATCCAGCAGTTTATGTAACTCATTTTGCAGTGCAATCCAAACGGCAAATTCATTGGGGGGCTTCGCCCCCCCATATACACTGGGGGGCTTCGCCCCCCATGATAAACTAAACGACTCCCGCGGCTACCGGAATCGCAGGTCACCAACCTGCCCCAGCTGCACCGCCCCGCCGAACACGCCAATGTAGCTAAGGTAATCCTTTTTTTGTGTGTGTGTAAGGAGAGTGTGTTATTGCGTTAAGAGGGGACCCAAATTAATTGTATAAATCCCCCCGTGATAAACGACCCGGCTGCGCCGGTCCCGCGACTGCGCCGCCCACATGCCGAAGAAGGCAAATTTCATAAACAGTGTTTAAAAAAATGAATGAGGTGAAGTTTGACAAATGATGGAGAACAAAAAATCGATGAGGGCCAGACCGTCTGACTTAACTAGCGGGCAAAACCCAACCCGGGAACGCAACCCGCTTCAGAATCCCGCCCAAATTCTGGAAAAGCTGCCCCATTAGTGTGCACATTTTTCAAACGGCGGCCGGGCAATCATAATAATTATCCCTTAGAATCCTTCTCCCGAAAACGTCATTCAATCATAATTGAGTGTGTTGGATAATGTACCATTCCTTCAACCATTCACCTGCTCTCGCCCTTTTTATGGGTATAAAATTCACTTTGTTTTTTATTCCTTATGAAAAAATGCTGGTTACCCATAGTGGTTATCCACAGAAAAATTCACTTTGTTTTTATTCTATGATCATTATCCAATGCTCTGAATTAGTTATCCAGAACTTTTGTATTAGTTATCCACAAATTTTGCAGTGCTTATCCAGCAGTTTATGTAACTCATTTAAGGATAATCAACACTGGTTATCCATTATGTCCATACTGGTTATCCATAGTGTGGAACATGTTACTGTGTATAACTGAAAACCACACGTTCTGTAATTAAAATAGAATTTAAAAGATTGAGGCAGTATAAATAAAAAAAAAAGAAAACTGAAAATGCTCGTGTTCGTGCACTGTACATCCACCATGATCTAATGGGTAGTTACAGAGCCACACGTTTTTACATAACTGTCATAATGAGTTTCTTGATCTCTACCTGGGGCTAAAACTCCTTCATCTGCACATACACCAGATCGCCTGATTTGAGCATTCAAAACATCCAACAGCCAGAAAAAAATGAAAAACGAAAAAATTTCCTCAAATTCCAGCACCAAACAAATGTCCCCCATCTATCATGAATATATCCATCACGATATGCTTGATAAAATGTTCATTAATCTGTCATTGGAAAAGATTTGATAGTTCCGTCGTGTCAGCAAAGCTTGGGAGGAAATGACGAAAAGACAGGAATTTGTTCTTAAAAAACGTGAGATGAGCTACCCTGCAAGTGAAAACAACATCCTTGTTTTCACTCAAACAAGCCAAGAAGATCACCTGTTGCAAGACAAACTAATCGCCACCAAGATAAAAGTGCAAATGGATAACCCATGCAACCACATACGATTTCAAGAAGAGATGTCGATGGGTGACGACGGCATCCATAAAATCATGCCTATCACCACAGATTTGATCTGTCTGCAAACCAGCTCTCAAATCAAATTCTTGAACCCAAAGACAACACAACTTGCAACAGTTGAATGGCCATATGATGTCCCTCTCAGCAATTGTGAAACAGCATTTGGGTACGTATCATCCTCAAAAACATACGTTTTCATGGCCCTAATTGCCGATGGAAAAAACATGCAAGGCTGCATTTTTTCTTTTCAAAGTTGTTCAAGAATTCATAGAGGGGAATGGAAAACACTTTGCAATGTATGTCCTCGCCTTGTATCTCATGGAATCTGGTTTGATAGATTCGTGTACTGGCGTGTAGACAAACTATCCTCTGAAATAGCAACACCTCAAGAGTTGTTGGTTGTGTTTGACTACCACACTCAACAATTCCAACCCATAAACTGCCCTCCGTCTCCAACCTTCTTTAACCCCACTTATCCTTCCCATATGAATCTCCAAGTGAAAATATTGGACTACCAGGGGACTATGTGTGTAACAGATGAGTACGAGATTACTCAGAATCATCACTGTGAGATGTGGACATGGGATCCAGATACTTCCACATGGGATTGCATATTTGAGACCCATGAATTCCCAAATGTGAACACGCACGTTCCACAGGGATTACATTTCTGTCATGATTGGCTTTATCCAGTGTTCTTAAGCCACAAATCATCTCCAGCAGGACAGTTCATTGTAAAAGGATACGATAATCGTCATTTGTTGTTGTATAGTGTTCCTACCAGGAAAATCACACACTCAAGTATATCGCCGGATCTAGAAACCAGTTTCATCATTAGAGCATGTTACTTCTGGGAAACATTAACACACGTTTAGGACTTTGTACTGGTTATCTAATGATATTACTAGTTATCCCAGGACTTTGTACTAATTATCCAGATTATCTATGCTGGTTATCCAATGTATTTTGGTTCTCCAAATATTTCTGTAAATTGCAAGAAAAAATAAAAAATGAGTGTCCCAATTTCTTGGTCTTTCTACTTCTTTATTAAACTGCTTATCCTATGATGTTATCTTGCTTATCCAGGACTTTTGTACTGGTTATCCAGACAATGTGCAGCAATATCCAACCGTTTGTAATGGTTATCCATGATCATTGTACCAGTTATCCATCTTGTTAAACCTGATTATCCGAATGTTTATTGTGATTATCCAGTAAAAAAAAATGCTACTACAGTCTTTAACCTGAATATCCATGAGATTATACTTGTTATCTGTCTTCAACGTGTTCATGTGTTTTTCTATAATATTTATATGCATTTAAAGTTGCATATCCGGTATAGGCGAGTTAGATATCCAGTAAAAACGAAATGGATATCCACTACAGACAAAATGGATATCCAGTACAGACAACTTGAATAACCAGTCCAAACTGGTTGGATAATCACCATGAACGCAACGGATAACTAATATAAAATAACCACTAGGATAACCAGTACAAATTAAATGGATAACCAGTTAAAACTGGTTGTATAATACTGCAATTTAAAATAAATAATACTTTTTAAATAAAAATCTTTACGGCATCAAGACTGTTCATTTCAACATCAAGTTAAAATACTAATAAAACATCTTGTTGAAGAAACGCTGCGCTCTGACCTCCTGGCAGCTTCCCTTCGGTTAGGAAATGAGAAACCACCAAAGTTTTCATTCATGAATGTCATGTTTTGATGAGAAGGATTCACAGCAGCGGAAGTGCTTTCGCCTTGAAACTCCTGACTACCTCCCTTGGGAATTGGAAATGAGAATCCACCGGAATTTTGGTTGATGAACGGCATGCTTTGATCAGAAGCATTCATAGAAGTGGAAGCCCCTGCCCATGAAAAATGCTGGGCAGCTATGCTTGGATTAGCAAATGAGAGTCCACTGGAATTTACGTTCAAAGATGGCACGCTTTGATGAGAAGCATTCACAGCAACAAAACTTCCTGTGCCTGTAAAATGTTGAGCAGCTCCCTTTGGATAAGGAAATTGCATGCTTTGATAATGCAGGTCTAATGCAACTGAAGCTCTTGTTCGGTCTGCAGCAATTTTTGCATTTGTTTTCCTGCCTCTGACTTTGTTACATGCCTTCTCAAGAATGCTTTTAGGACGTTCGTTCCTGGGACCAAACTTCTTCCTCTTTACAGCCGGATTCTTTATAACACCATCATTGTCTACAGACTCATCATTATTATTTGAACCAATGAAACTCGCCGAGTTCTTCTTTAAGCTTTGTCAACAGACCTCATCACAACATTTCTTTGCATCTTTGTTATATTCACTTGCATACACCAAATCTGAAAATCGTCTCATAATTAGTGCCTTCCACAGCAATGGGCCAGCAGCTTTTCCATCTCCCTCATTAGCTATGCTTGACCTGGCACCATAACCTTTTGTCCATCTCATACATATATAATCTTTAGGAAACTCATCAACAGAGGTTACGTGACAGATCCGAAGAATGTGGCAACAAAGCATGCCCGCCTCAGAGTAGTACCTGCATGTGCATGAGAATCTCTGTAACCTAGTGTCATGTACAACCACGTGCTTAAAGTGCTCTATCCCTAACCGCCAAACATGGTACGTCACAGTATTGCCATCATTTGAGACCTCTACCTGCTCCTGCCTGCACAACATCCCATCTTTGTGCAACTGCTGAACCTCCCGGAATGCTTCAACTGTGTACACTCTGCGAATGCTCTCTAGAAAAGGGTCACCGGGAAGATATGAATCGATGTTTCCCTGGCTACAACGTAGATCTTCACCCCTCACAGCTACCCGCCAACAGTGTACAACATCAGAGAAAATTCCATGGAAATCACAAAGCGATGATGTGGCCTTCATCTTACGACAAATTGCATTATTTGTTGACTCACTCCTCTGTGAAGACAAGGTACCACCAGAAAAAAAATCTTTGCTAAATGCAGGGCACCACATATGCCTCACATCGTAAATACCACTGAGCCATTTGTCATCATGACAATCATACTCATCCAATAATCTGTGCATCACAAAATAAAACACATGCATAAAAAGAAAAATAGTTGGATTATCCATATAGTTATCCAGCCAAGAAAGCCTTTCTACTAGTTATCCAGCCATAACGGGTGGTTATCCAGAGATAATTGCTGGTTATCCACAATATGTAAACTAGTTATCCAACCATAAGGGGTGGTTATCCAGAATGGCTAAAAACTATTTATCCAACCATAGTTGCTGGTTATCCAGAATCTGTAAACTAGTCATCCAAATATTATGGCTGGTTATCCACAATCTGTAAACTAGTTATCCATGCCTTTTTTAAGTTGTGCTTCTATAATGTACCTACCACACAACGTATCTACCTATAAGTAATCATCAGGAAGATCATGCATGACCACTAACAAACCCATACCCACACAACAAAAAAAATAAGAGACACTCTTAATCATGGAAATGATCAAAATAATAATAAAAATATTGTCAAACTGACCTCTTCCATAATACCTCGAACTCGATTTCTGTTGAAGTGTATTTCATCAGATAATTAAAGTTCTTAAATGACCAATTCGCTTTCTTGAATTTTCACCTATGTGCCATACACAGAGACGATGCCTAGAACTTGGAAAACATGTCCGAATACTTGCAGCAATGGATGGTGCTTGATCTGTCATTATGGTTTGTGGCTGTTTATCTCCCATTGATTTCAAAAACTGCTTGAACAACCAATCAAAAGAGGGTTCTTTCTCGTTTAACACAAAACCACAACCAAACATGACATTCTTGTTATGATTATCCATACCCACAAATGGAGCACAGATCATCCCATATCTGTTTGTTCGATATGTTGTATCAAACACAAGCAAGTCACCAAACAAATTATAATCCTTTCGCATTCTGCCATCCCTCCAGAAGAAAATACATAGCCTACCCTGCTCATCACACTCAAAATCAAAGAAGAAATCTTCTTCAGTTTCCTTCCTGTCCCAAAAAATCTTCATGAGCTGATTACAATCCCCACCTTCAAATCCAACAGCAGGACGCTCATAATTGTAGGCATCTCTCAAAGTATATTTCATGTTCGGGCTTCCCCCGTGTAATTTTGCCACAAACTTAAATGCATCAACCAAAGGGATGCCACTCCTTGTCATGTCTCTGATTATCTTCATATCATTTTCATCTACTTCACGTTGAGATCGAAGAAGTCCAATCATTTCATTCGGCACAAGATCATGATTGTGATCAACCGGATGCTTTGTACAGTCCACAAGCCATCTTTGTCAACAATAACTGGATATAAGCTGGGCACCCACAATAAAATTAACCCTCTCATGGCATACATTACCATTTCCACTGGATCTCTTGTATCCTTCGCGGTTACAACAGAACTTCTTCATCCTAACTTTATCAGTCTTACCTCTAAACTTCTGTTTTCCCACTCTCACACTAAAACCAATCAATCGGGCATGATCATTATACAAATCATAAGCTTCTTTCTCACTTCTTGCCGTCTTACCAACTAAAGTAAAAACAGCCAAATCATTATTCTTCGTCACAGATGAAATTTCCTTGTGCAAGGCATCCTCCTCCAACATCACATTATCAACTCCCAATTCATTGCCGCTATTATCTTCTCCACATTCTGAGAAAAAACAAAAAGAGAGGGTTGGATAACCATTACCGTCCATTCGGATAATCAGTATTAACACTGGATAAACAAATCAGAAAAAAAATTTAAACCATATAAGCAAGTTAGAAAACCCACCCTTCAGAGCAGATGTAACTTCCATGCACAAAGCATCATCCAGCATCATATCATCCCCCAACTGATTGATATGCTCTTTTACAAAAAATGGGACAAACAGAAAAACAAAAAATCAGTTGGATATCAACAGACAACTATCCGAATACCATAAATGTAGAGAGCAAGAACTTGATATATGCAGATTCATACATTCAACAATAGTGTCAAACAATCCTTTATCCCAGATGGACTCTCCATGAAACTAAGCTTGTATGCATGTATGGATACGTATGTAAATCAGTTGGATAACCAGTATACATAAGCTGGACATCCAGCACAAACAAAGTGGATATCCAGTACAAATATTTTGGATATCCAACACAGCATAACTGCTTATCCACTTCATATAAAACATTAACAAAAACAAAACTGTGAAAAACTAGATTCATTATTCTCTCACAAACAGTACACTCCGAACTGTGAAAAAACACCAATTCAATATAAACAACTCAAAAATGTTGGATATCCAGCAAATAAAATTTGGATACGCATGTGTATCAGTTGGATAACCAGTACACATAAGCTGGATATCCAGCACAACAACGTGGATATCCAGTAAAAAGTGTTTGGATATCCACCACAGCATAACTGCTTATCCAGTTCATATTAACAAAAATAGAACTGTGGAAAAAACTTGATTGATTACCTGATTCCAGCTGATCTACAATAGAACTGTGACCTTGCGTTAATTTACTGGCACAGTAAGGTTGTTCGATGGATTTTCTACCATTACATTCCGCATTCATCAAGACGGAATCATCAACGACATAACTCATCACTCGATCTGAACTAAGCATATTGTCAATCCAATCACCGTTTCGCCACTCTGGTGAAATCGGAGCCTTTCCTCGATCGCTGAACGCCGTCGCCGTCTCAGAAACTCGATCGCTGAACGCCGTCGCCGTCTCAACCACTCGATCGCCGCCGGCCGAGTCCACCTCAACGCCACGATCCCCGACTCTCATTGCCGCCTCAACGCCTCGATCGTCGCCGGCCATCTCCAATCAATAATACTCTATCACAAAGTTTTACAAATTTGAATGAATTCGGTTATTTATATATCCCCGCCTTTAAAAAAAAAGAAAAAAAGAAAAAGAAAGCTGAATTATAATGGCTCACTAACGCTATTGTAAGAGAGTGAGGTACACGCGCATGGGGGGACACCGTATTCCCGGGTGTACCAGATAATTTGCCGTTTTTTGTTCGTTTTTCCTTTATAATCGGCCAAAGAACATGTTCTCCCGCTACCGGTTTTACCTTTGTAGTTAATTTAAGACTTCACCCTACCAATAACTTTTTTACATTGATTATAATCAAAGTATTTTTTCCCATTGGTAAAAAAAAGTAGTGTTATTGCGCACAAGGGGCAGTGGTCTGTTTTACTTTTCGCAAGAACAAAAACCCAAATCCAACAAAGTTAAAAACTTCAAGACTATTTGCGCCAACAGAGGTTTTGAAAAATCTGTTTTTTCTAAATAATTTATATGATTTGATTTTTCTTTTGCCAAATAAAAAATTTATTTTTCCGTAATGATTAGTAAACTATGTATTCTTTTCATTGGTAACTTAGTCTCTATACAAACCACTCTGGTTAAAGTAGTTACAGTAGTCTAAACACCCATAAAAGAATGCAAAAAAATGGGTGATCATTGCGCTGGACTTTTACTACTTACTACTGTTTTATTATGTTTCACATGTGCTTTTTTTTTTTTTTTTAGTTTCTCTCCTTTAGACGTCTACATATTTTGAACAAAAACCAATCGGAATTATTGGAAAAGAACATTTACCCTCAAAGTTATATATTATGCATAGACTTTCAGAACAAGGAAAAAATTGATAGGAAAAAAGTATAGATAGGATCTTGAAATCATTCTTCATAAATTGTGTTGTTTACAATTTTTGGAATTGATTATTGTTCAATTTAGTGGAGGATTGAAAAGAACCAATCATGAAGAATCGAAAGATTATAGCAATCAATGGACGTATCAAAATAAAATTACTAAAGCTTCGGAGTTACGAAATCATCAACATTTAAACTAACACATCTCTTTTAATGAGATCAACATTAACTATACCATTTCAAAATCATCATAATTGCCAAAATTATGAAAATCTTCATAATTAATTCAATACACGTGTTCATTTTATCACTGCATAAATGTCCATTCCGAAGGTGCGCAGGATAAAAATTCTTTCTAGCTTTGTAATTTTTTATTTATGCAATATCAAATGGATTAATACATTGGATCAGATGAAGCAAGAAAAAGAACGCAGATTGTTATCCCAAAGACAAAAAGTTTAGATTTTGGTGATAAAAACTCGAAACCTAACTCAGTAGGAGCTCAATCCGTCAATCTCTCAGGAAACTTTAGAAAAAAGGAATATATATATATATATATATATATATATATCAGGAAATATATATATATATATCAGGAAATAAATAGCTTGTTAAAGATCTACATGATTTATTTTTCTTTTTTTTTTAAGTGCCAACTTGATGGAAAGTAATTAGTGTTTATTTAAAGGATATTTTTGCGCATTGCAGGATATTTTCATTTTACCTTTTTTTTTTATATCGTTTCAATTTAGTTGAGACTTGGGTTAGTTTTCATATCGTTCATTTCTTATTCAACGGCTTTGGCCACCCTTTGAACGGTTGGTTGTTTATTGAATGAAAATCCAAAGAAAGTTCAAATAAAAAAAAATATGAAGTGTATATAAAGTTCAAAGGTCTAACTAAAATAAATAATTTTTTACACAAATATAAAGTGTATGATTTTTTACGGCTACAAAAGTGCGTGTATGATTTGTTTCAATTACTAGATATCCTCACTAGTATTTCAATCAGCGTGGTCACTTGTGAAGGTTTTATTAAAATCGAAACGCGATCATTTGCAAATGTTTAACTAAAAATAAATAATTTTAACACAAGTATAAAGTGTATAATTTTTTACGGCTATAAAGGTGAATGTATGATTTGTTTCCATTACAAGATATGCTCAATAATATTTCAAAAAATGGGATCACTTGGGAAGGTTTATTATAAGATGAATCAGAACGGGATCATTCGCAAAGGTCTAACTAAAAATAAATAATTTTTAATACAAACCCAAAATATATGATTTTATATGGTTATATAAAATACATGTCTGATTTGTTTCAATTACTAGATATACTCAATAGTGTTTCAGTAAAACAGGTCACTTGGGAACCATTTATTACAAGATGAGTTGGAACGAGAACATTTGAAAAGGTCTAATTAAAAATATATAATTTTTAACACAAATAGAAAGTGTATGAGTTTTTTATGGCTATAAAGAATGCATATATGATTTGTTTCAATTACTAGATATGTTCAATAGTATTTCAATAAGCATAGTCCTTTTTGAAGGTTTTATTAAATATTGAAACGCGACCATTTGCAAATGTGTAACTAAAAATAAATAATTTTAACACAAGCATAAAGTGTATGATGTTTTACGGCTACAAAGGTGAATGTATGATTTGTTTCCATTACAAGATATGCTCAATAATATTTCAAAAAATGGGATCACTTGGGAAGGTTTATTACAAGATGAATCAGAACGGGATCATTTGCAAAGGTCTAACTAAAAATAAATAATTTTTAACACAAATCTAAAATATATGATTTTATATGGTTATATAAAATGCATGTATGATTTGTTTCAATTACTAGATATACTCAATAGTGTTTCAGCAAAACGGGTCACTTGGAAACCGTTTATTACAAGATGAGTTGGAACGAGAACATTTGGAAAGGTTTAATTAAAAATATATTATTTTTAACACAAACATAAAGTGTATGAGTTTTTTATGGCTTAAAAAATGCGTATATGATTTGTTTCAATTACTATATATGCTCATAGTATTTCAATAAGATGGGTCATTCGGGAAAGATTTATTACAAGATAAATAATTTAAACGGGATCATATGGAAATGACTAACTAAAAATAAACAATTTTTATATGAACCGTATGATTTATTATGGATATATAAAATATATGTATGATTTGTTTCAATAAACGGGGTTCTTTGAGAAGGACTTGTTACAAGATCAAATTAGAAAAATGATCATTTAGAAATGCCCAACTAAAAATAAATAACTTTTAATTAAGACAAATATAAAATGTAAGAATTTTTCAGGTATAGAAAATATAAATATTATTTGTTTCAATTACTAGATATGCGCAACAGTATTTCAATAAATGAGTTACTTGGAAAGGGCTTAATAAAAAGAAAAAGAGCTCCGACAACCTAATCCTACATCATTTAGCAAAATTTTGTCATGTGGCCCTGACAGGTTTATCCAAGAGTGGGTTAGGGTGTTAGTAAAATTTTAAAGAACGAATATAATAATTAAAAAAATATATAAAAACATTATATAGTGGGTTAGGAAGTGGTGTAGGAGCTCTTTGATCTCTTACACCATAATTTTACACCACTTCCTACATAATTTTCTAAGATTTTGACACGTCGCCTCGATGGGTTTATCCAAGGTTGGGCTTAGGTGTTAGTAATAATTTTAAAGAAAAAATGTACTAATGGAATAAAATAATGTAAAAATATTATATGGTTGGCTCGGAAGTGTTGTAAGATTGTGGTATAGGAGATCTTTAGGCTTTTTTTTTTTATTAGGAGAATCTTTAGGCTTATTACAAAATGAGTGGGAACAAGAACATTTGGAAATTAATAATAAAAAATAAATATTTCGAACGCATAAGTAAAATCTATAATATTTTATGACTATAGAAAATGCATGTATGATTTATTTCAATTACTAGATATCTCAATAATGCTTAAATAAACGGGGTCATTTGGGAAGGGTCTATTACAAGATGAATTGGAGCGGGTTCATTAAGCAATGTTTAACTTGAATTAACTAATTTTTAAACAGAAATATAATTTTTAAGACAAATATAAGTGATCACAAATTTTTCTATTGGGACCTTTCAAGTTTTGATAAAGCAAATTACAAATTTTTCTTTGGTGGTTAGGATTTTTCTTTTTAATTCTCAATCTTACATATATCTATTATTAATGGAAAATGATTTTGAAGACATATGCCATTTAAGAGTAATGATAGAGATAGTGACTAATTATAGTAAAAATGTATAGTGCCTACTAAAAAGAGAAGTACACCACAATTACTAAATATATTACTTGTTAATTAAAGGTAAAAATATAATTTTATGAGAAAGATATAATTTCAACGGTTAAGTAATTAAAAAATAGAGGATCATAATTACTCCACATCAGTCACTATTTTTTTCCATATATAATATAGGGAGCGGCTAGAGTCCCGTTACGGGACGGTTCCGTTTTAAAATAATAACCGTAGGATTAATTAGGCTAATTAACAACCGTAGGATTAAAATGAGGGTGCATCATAAGTAAATATATCTAAACACACCTGATTAAACTGAAAAATTAGAGAAAATGATCAATTTTGCCTAAAGTTTCAAGTGTCTTGCCAATTTGACCCAAAAGATTTTTGGGAAGCCAAATTCATCATCTAATTTTTAATTCCTGGCCAATTTTATCCAATTGACAAAAATTTCTTCAGATTTAACATCTCTGCTGACATTCTGTTACGAATAAAATGACGGTTTTACCCAAAGTTTTGATTGTTTCGTTAATTTTACCCCATTGACTTTTTTGGCTGCCCAATTTTGTCCTTTATGTTTGAAAATTTTTGCCAATTTCATTTAATTGGTCAAATTTCCGTTAAACTTGATGGCTTTTAGTTAATTTTTAACAAAAATATCCCTATAGTATCAAAAAATTATAAAAATAACTCCCAAAATATGTAAAATCAAAAAAATAATCTCTTTCCATTATTTATTTATTTTTTTCTATTTCATTTTATTTCTCTTTACTACTTTTATAACCATCAAAATAAAATTATAAGATCTTTAAAATAATAATTATTAATTTTCAAACTCTATTTTTCATGCACAAACATGTGAGTTGGGT